GGCTCTCTCCAAAGGGAGCCCAGAATTTCCGTCCTTTTGAGTCGGCCCTGCGGCCGTGAGGCAGAGCCTGGGCCGCCTTGGGGGGCTGGGAGAGTAACCCCGAGTGGCTGGACGAATGGGGGGGGGGGTTAAGTCGAAGGAGTATCCTCCACGTAACTGCCTATGGTTTTTGGGGGGGGGGGGTGAGCACCTCCCATTTCCCTTGATCTGATCCCAACAGGAGAGAGTGGAACCTTCCGCTTCGTTTTTCCAGCAGGTCCTTTTGAACCTTCCTCCAAAATAACGCCTGACCCTCTAGGCTTGTGTTTACACACGTTGCCTTTCTAGGCCCCCTTTTTGGGACAGCCCCCCACCCCACCCCCCACCCCCGTGACCCACCCAGCCGGGAGTGAGTTCAAGCGTGACTCACGCCTGTCCCAGTCGGTGGGGCTCAAGGATTCGGGGCCATTTGGGGCCTCCTGAGCCAGCAAACGTGAGGCATCCGGGCAGGAATGTTTATGGGAAGAACGGCAGATTTGCAGACGGCCAAGTCAGCAGCAACCTCTACATTTTGAATTTTTAACAATTAAATCCCCAGCCCTGCTCCCAGGAAGAGGAGAATTAACTACACGTATTTCCCCCCGAAAATAAGACCTAGTCGTGTTTTCTTTTAGGCTCCAAAATAAGCAGTAGGGCTTATTTTTTGGCGGGGGGGGGGGAGGAGAGACATGATTTCAGGGTGATCATCCCGGCTGGGGCCCCCTGGTAACAGATCACCAGAGTTGGAAGGGACCTTGTAGGTCATCTAGTCCAACCCCCCCTGCCCAAGCAGGAGACCCTACACCATTTCTGACAAGATGGCAACCCAATCTCTTCTTGAAGGTCTCCAACGACGCACGCACGGGAGATGGCAAGCGCGTGGGGATGGATGGTATCTGGCAGGCGCTGCAGCCCGTCCATCCTGACACATCGCCAGCCCACCACGGCTCAGCTTTCCCGCGACCCATGCAGCATGTCCGGATCGCCTCCCTCCCGTGCAGTTCTGCCTCGGTTTTCTGCCGGTGTCACCGATGAGCCTCCCGCGGCCGGCCACCGCTCCGCCCCACCGCCGTTCAGCTGTCCGGCAGCACATCCGGATCACCTGCTTCCCCCCTGCTGCTTGCACAGGTAATCAACTCACCTGTGCTGTGCTGGCTTGCGGTTACTGCCAGATACTGTCAGCCCATGTGCCCTTGCGATCTCCTCTGCTGGCCCTGCCCTCCTCAACCCCCCCCCATTCACTAGGGTTTATTTTTGGGGTAGGGCTTATATTAGGGCACAGATTTTTTTTTAAAAAAAAAAAACCCAGGCTGGGGCTTATTTTCAGGGTAGGACCAGAGGTGGTGAATTCAGCCAGTTCTGGAGAACCAGTAGAGGAAATTTTGAGTAGTTCGGAGAACCGGCCAGCCTCACCTCTGACTGGAGATTTTACAGTCTCTTTCCCCTACCAAACCCACCAAACCCACCGAACCGGTAGTAAAAAAATTGGAATCCCACCACTGGGCATATTTTTAGGGAAACACAGTATTTTTAATCCCTGAAGAATTAATTGGGACCATTTCAAACGAAGGCAACGGACGGCAGAAAAAGAAGCTGGCAGTCCAACCGAGTTTGTCCCTTTCGAGTCTTATTTATGCTTTTTAAATTCTGGTTAGATGATGGACATCCGTTTCTCCCAAGCGTGTTTAAGCTCAGTTACTGATAAGTGAGCCACTAATCTCTGCTGGCAGTTGGCTCCAAGCTGCCTCTTTCCCTGAAGTCCTGTTTTCTAAGATTTGGGACGATCACAAAGACATCTAGATGTTTCCCTTATTTGGTTAGGTATTAAGCACTCTGACAAAATTAGTGTTGGGCCTGTTAATGTTTGCTGTACACTCACCGCACAACAGATGTTTCTGGTGCAGGTACAGGCGGTCCTCGACTTACGGCCACAATTGAGCCCCAAATTTCTGCCATTAAGTGAGACATTTGTTCCTTGAGCTTTGTCCCTTTTCATGCCCTTCCTTGCTCCAGTTGTTCAGTGAACCACGGCAGTTGATCAATCAATAACCTGGTTGTTAAGCTTCCAGTTGAAGCCACATCCGATCGCAAAAGGGGTCACATCACCCTGGGAGACAGCAACCGTCATAAATAGGAATCCCAGAATTTTGATTTCTGGGACCTAGGAGATGCTGCAATGGTCGTAACTTTGAAAAAATGGTCATGTCTCATTTTTCATGTCATGATGGGTGCCTACAACTGCTCAAGGATTATCGGCTGAAGCCCTGGCAGTTTGCCAAGGATGACCTGATCCCTGGAAGAGGGCCGGACAAGCAGGACAACGGAAGACCTTCCTGTGTCTGCTCCGATGCGCCATGGAGGCCAGGCCAGGGGATGTCCTCTCCTGCTTATCCTGGGGAGCCCCCAAGCAGTCAGTTTCAATCTCCTCCCCCCATGGGCTCTTGCAAGGTGTGGGGAGGCTGGGCCACTCACCCCACCCCGAGGCCGGCCAGGCCTGGATATCGAAGGAGGCCAGGAGGGTGGGCGGGGGGCCCTTCCAGCAGCCGAATCGAAGGAGAAAGAGGTGGCGGCGTGGGAGTCAGAGTTAGCATCAAAGCAACCTGAGAGCTCCGAGGGGGAAGAGGGAATGAAGCTGGCAGAGAGAGAGAGGGAGGGAGAGACAGAGAGAGAGAGAGAGAGAGAGAGAGGTGGAGCCTGGGCCACCCTCAGATGAAGAGTCAACCACCCCTAGTCTGGAGGTGGCTGATGTGGAAGAGGAGGAACAGCCGGGTCCAGTGCCTGATGCATAGATGCACAGAAGGCAGAGGAGAGGAGAGCAGGGGAAATCTATGGGCCGGTCCTTGAGACAGAAGAGCCAGGTCTGGAAGTGGCTGATGAGGAAGAGGAGGAACAGCCGGGTCCAGCGCCTGACACTCAGAAGGCAGAGGAGAGGAGAGCAGGGGAAATCTATGGGCCAGTCCTTGGGATGGAAGAGCCACCGCTGCTGACAAAGCCCCACCCTGGCTCTGGGGATAAAAGGGGGTGGAGATGAATAGATGTGGCAGACAACTGTTCATCTCCCAGATGGACAGACTTGTTAGACGTGTGTGTGTGTGTGTGTGTGTGTGTGTGTGTGTGAGAGAGAGAGAGAGAGAGAGAGAGAGAGAGAGATTTTTCCGGGGCTGCCGGGGCTCCTAATAAAGGAATCACTGATTTAACTAGAGAGGGTTTGTCGTGTTTGGGGACCGGGGTCAGAGCAGCCAGGCTCACCTCTAACTTCTTCTCCTTCTCCGTCAGCACGTCCTTCTGGGTCTGTGTGTATTCGATCAACATGCGTGCCAGCTGGCGCCGGTCTTCCAGTTCCGCGGCTAGCCGCCCGTTGTATTCCGCCAGCAGCAAACACGCCTCGTCCACCGTCTTCGACAGGCGCTCCGCCGCCTCTTTGTCTGCGCACAGAAGCGGCGAGCGCGTTAAGAGAGAGGCCACACGACACCTTTTGCGTTGCTGACACGCAGCAGCCGTCCTTCTGGACACACCAGCCACCCCACAGCACAGGCAGAACTCAACTTACCAGAGCCCCAAATTTAGGTCGCTACGCATTGGTTAAGTTTTGCCCTGTTTCCCTAATGGGATTTTTTTTTTTTTTGCTGGAAATTGCAAAGAAAATGGGATCGATTGCAATGACAGGATGGAGGGACACCACAACCAGTCGTAAATGGGAGCCAATTGCGCAAACTGAAGGCCGTGGCTTCTTCAAGGGCCACTGTCATTCCAAAGTGTCAATAGGCAAATGGTGGTGAAGTTGAGGACTAATTATACCAGGGGTGGGGAATTCTGGCCCTTTTCTGACTTGTGGACTTCAACTCCCAGGATTCCAGAGCCAGGAATTCTGGGAGTTGAAGTCCACAAGTCTTAAAGGGGCCATGGTTCTCCACCCGGGTCAGCTTTGGAAGCCATATTGAGACCCGATGCTCCCACGCTGCCACAATTGAGCCTGGGAAAGTGGAAGGGAGGGTGGGGAATTCATTGGATTAGATCTAATCCTTTTTCTGATTCAAGGTCAGGTCGTGTTGCGCATTAAGTGAGAGGAAGTCTTAACTTGGAATGGAGGGGGATTGGGACATGTGGTGCCATGACGGGTGTAGGGGATGGATTTTGTAGTTTTTGCTTATTGTAAGGAAGCCCCGAACTTTCAAATTTGGGATTTCCCAGATGGGCTAGCTTACTATCCAAATAAAAGGAACCTTTGAGAAGATGTCTGTTTCGGAGTTCTTGGTTGAAATGGAGGTTTGCTGGAACGCTGGCACTCTTGACATATCCCGTTCACTTTTCCCACTGAAACTCTGACACACCCAGAACCCTCCCAGGTGTAACTTCGGTTTTTCTCAGCCAAGCTAAGAGCAGAGCCTCACCGGTGATCTTCTCCAGCAGGGACACATCCTGAACCTCCTGGGGAAGAGAAGCGATCTTCTGCCGCACGGTGGCATCGCCCGAGGCCGCATTCTCCAAGTCCTGCAGGGCTTTGATCAAGTCCTCCGCCTGCCCGGGTGAGACAGAAACAAGGTGCCTGCTGCGGCTTCGCCAGAAGACACCCCACCGCTCTACTTTGGGCGCCTCTGCCCCCCCAAGCTCTCCTGCACCACCACCCACCCACCTGTGCCCACGAGCAGGGCGCTCGCTGTCAAAGAGGAACAAAGGTGCCCTGGACACAGACCGTCAACCGTTCGGCTGGAGTCGCCCGGAGTCCCCTAAGCTGCCAGTGCAGGTAATAGAATCACTGAGCAATAAAGGTGGAAGGGGCTTTAGAGGTCTACTAGTCCAACACCCTGCTCAGACCCTAGACCAGAGGTCTCCAAAGTCGACAGCTTTAAGAATTGTGGACTTCTGGTTTGCAGGGTGTCGGCGGCAGGCAGGAATCCGCGATCGTGCGCGGTTTCTGCCTGGGCTCGCTGCTGGAGCGCCCCAAGCCAGCTGGCTTCAGGGCTAAGCCACCCCGTAGAGGTGGTGAAGAGGGGGGAGATCGCCAGCAGGGTCGAGGAGAGCCGCACCTCTCCCCCTCAGCTGGTCAAACTCCCTTTCTCGAAGGCGGTAGGAGCCGTGGTCAGAAATGTTTCATATTTTTTTCCCCTTCTCTCCCCTTCCTCACATTGACAACGAAGAGAGCTGAATAAGAAATCGAAAAAAATCCGCTTTGGCACCAATAGGTAATTAAGCTGAAAATATAATTAAATGCCAAAGGGACAATAAAGATTTCTGGACGCTAATTTTTTTTTTTTTTGTATAAGCAGGAAGGGAGAGGAAAAGAGCAAGGGCGGGATCTGGAAGGAGGAGACTGCCTGGATTTCACAAGTATCTCAAGTTAAATCTCAATAAGACTTCTAAAAGGTACATTTTAACTGGAATTTTGTAACTAAATAGTAACCCCAGGAAGAGAAAGTGAAAAAAGAAGAAAGTGTAAAAAGAAACAGCTTGTGTGTATTTGAATTGTTTGGTGACTTTGGGATGTTGGGATATTATATTTGAATGACTAAAAACAATTGGGTGGTTGTTTAAAAAAATTCTACAACGGCATCACTTCTGGATGAACAGAAAATGGAATTTAAAAAATATAAAGAAGAGACGGGAAGGGAAGGGCTCCTTTGGCTCCATTTTTCAATTCTGAGAAATGGCGATCTGCAACTACGAGAAACAACAAGAAAAGACTGCGCAACAAGAAGATTGGGACGAAGAAGAAGTCATCTTTAATGAACAAGGAACTCTATCTGGGGAAGAAAGGGAAAAGGGGGGAAAGAGAATGGAGAATTTAAGACTTTAAAAAAAACAGCCAAAAAAGGGAAAAATAATTTGAAAAGGGGATATAATGTTGGAAAGCAACAGAAAGGGGGAATACAGAAGAGGGAAGTGGAGGTAGAGAGACGGGGGGGTAAAAAGGGGAGAGAGAAGAAAGGGAAGAAGGAAAGGAAGAGAAGTTACAAAGGTTTGGAGCAAGATGTAAAGAAACAGGACCTATTCAGAGATAATGAGTGAAAATCTAACTGAAAAAGGGATTCTGTGAAGGTACATAAGATGGTATTGTTATATTTGAAATAGAAATAATGTTAGAAAATTGGAAACAACATATGATTAAAAAGAGGGATAAAATAGTCAGTGTAATTTAGTGAAACTTTTGTGAACCAAATAAATGAAATAAAATAAATGAGAGAACTGAATTAGGAAGGAACATTTTAATTACTTAATGTTTTATAAAATATAAGTGAAGTGGGGGGGAGGGGGGGAAATTAACTATGGAAAGTTTATAAGTGTTCCCATAGAAGTATGATATTTATCTGAAAAGTAATGTGTAAAATGTTAAGATTTAAGCGAATATTAATATTAATGATAGAATTGAATTGGAATGGATCGTTGTTTTAATTATATTATACATTTATAATTTTTTTCTTTTTTCAAAATACAGTGTGTAGTTTTTGAATGTACCAAGCAGAATCCGAATGGAAGTTACGTATTATATTAAGTGTTATAATTTTAGGGGAAAGATATAAAGGTGTCATTCTCCAATCAGTGATTACAGGAGAAATTTTGTTTAATGAGAAAAGATAATGGACAATTGAAACAGGACAGACAAAGAATATAAGTACAATGGTTTATAATGAGATGAAATAAATAAAATAAAATTAAGAAAGTTAAAAGAGGGGAGAAGCTATATAGAAAATGTAGCATAGTAATAAGATATGGAATGGAATATAAAAATGAGCATGAACTTGAATTTGTGTCTGTACGAAGAGATGTAACCCGGGATTATGCTGCTTTCAAAAAAGATGCTCTATGTTTTTATGTTTTATGTTTTGTTTGTGTTTGTTTTTAAAAATCAAAGAATTGTGGACTTCCTTCCTTCCTTTTTCTTTCCTCTTTCTTTCTTTTCCTTCCTTCCTCTCTTTCTTTCAAATTCTGGGAGTTGAAGTCCACAAATCTTAAGGTCACAAGCTGGTGACCTTCTACTGCTGCACCATAAAGAGTCTCTTAACTTACTGCACTTCTCTATGGTTTGCCAATTGCACAGGGGCCGATAGGAAAGCCCTCCAGAGGGTGAATGTCATTGCCCAGAGGATCACTGGTTGCCCTCTCCCCTCTTTGGAAGAGCTTCATAGCTCCCGCTGCCTTAAGAGAGTTCAAAACATCCTCAAAGATCCATCTCATCCTGGGTATCTTTTTTTGAACTATGACCATCTGGCAGACGGTGCAGGATAATACAAACAAGGACAAATAGGCTGAAAAACAGCTTCTATCCCAGGGCAGGAGCTTTCTTGAATTCTGCTGTATAGTGCAGTGTTGGTGCAGTGTTGCAGGTTTTCGGTTCAATGTGTGGAGTGTGAAGGATGTGTGTTTGTGTTTATTTTCATGGTCATGATGTGCACTGAAGACGGTGTTTGATTTCATTGTACGAGGTGCAATGACAATAAAGTAAACTAACTAACTAACTAACTAACTAACTAACTAACTAAAGCTATCAACTTTGGAGAGCCCTGCCCTATACCATCCCGGAGAAATGGCTGTCCAATCTTTTCTTGAAGACCTCCCCGCCATGATGGTGATGGAGAAGCCACAGGCTCCAGAGGCAGGGGGTTCCACTGATTAACTGTTCTCCCTATCGGGGGGGGGGGGGGAGCCCTCTCCCTGCCTACGTATTTACCTGCCCAGGTGACGCTCCGCCACGCTTCATGAGCTTGGAAGGGGCGCCTAGGTCGACGCTCGCTAAAACATTCATCTGAGGAGCCACGGAAGCAGCGAAGTTTAAAAATGGAGCTTAGGTTTTCCTTGATCGGTTCTTTGGGACTGATAGGTGGTCCTCAGCTTACAACCAAAACCGGGAGCTAAACAAGGCAGCTCTTAAATGAGTCATGCCAAACTTCAGAACTTTTTGCCACGATTGCTATT